AGAAATTATCACGATTGTTATTTATAACTACACAATATATGGAACCCTTTCTATAAGCACTTTCTGTGTGCTAGATATCATTCTAAGCATTTCATATGCATCGAATAATTTATTTTTCTATAAGGTATGTACTCTTATGATCTCCATTTTAAAGATGAAGAAATGGACGCAGAGGAGTTATGCAACTTTCCTAAGACTGCAAAGCTGTGTCAGAATTAATACTCAAACGCATCCAGCTTGACTCCAGAGGCCAACTTCTTAACCACTACAACTCAGAAATTATTAGATAACAGTATTACATATAATTTTATTAAGTGATCTGTATAATGTATAATATATATGATAGGCATTATAAGTTTGTTCTGCTTATATTCACATTTCTTCATACCTCAGAAACTTGAAGACCTTTCTATAACAGTTTCTTGTTTTAAATAAGCTATATTAAAAAAAAAAGACTAATTCAGTTTCTACTAGTTTCTAAGATCCATTCTCAAAGAATTTTGTCCAATTCTTATGTCAAAATAAATAACCTCATTTCATGAGGAAAGTAAACTGATTAAATAATGAGCAATTCTCAAGGCATCCTTAAGAAAGAACTTCTTTATTATAATGTCATGAGACACTATACCTGTTATAATGACTTATTTAATATCCTTCTTCCTTGACAGACTATAATTATCCCATCAGTCTTATCTGCCCCCAATGTTGCAATGCCTGACATACATCAGACTGTCAATAAAAATTTACAGAATGGGATTTGTTCTTTTATCTCTTAACTTTATTTAGCTAAGATTCCACTATAAGTAGTAGCTTAATATTTCTAGTAATATATCACATAATAGTAAAATATTTTTATATTTATATCATTACTACAAGTATGTTCATTTTTAAGATGTGCCACAAATTTCCTTCAAATAATGCTGTGATTTATATCAGCAAGAATTCCTTCCTCATAAACGTCTGTCACAGATTCTTAAAAGAATGAACCTTGGAAAGCAGCCCATTTTATTTTCCACATTTAAAATTTTCTTCCTTGTACTAAATTTAAAATATTCTTTTACGTTCCACAACTATTAATAATAACTCTCATTATAATTTTCCTTTCTTGCCTTGGCCGGGGTGGCTCAGTGGTTGGAGTGTCAGCCTGCACACCGAAGGGTCTTGAGTTCAATTCCCAGTCAAGGCATCTACTTGGGTTGCAGGTCAATCCCAGCCTGGTAGGGCACATGTGTGAGGCAACCAACAGATGTGTCTCTCTCACATCTATTTCTTTCTCTCTCTCCCTTCCTCCCCCTCCCTTCTACTTTCTCTTTAAAAAATGCAAAAAATATACTCAGGTGAGGATTAACATAGAACAAATTCCTTTCTCAAACTTGCAATTCCATACAATTGTTAATCACCATTTCTTCTGACAGTAGTAACCCCCAAATTAAAACCAGAAGTCATTATATTACAACATACACTAAACCCAATCAGATGTTGTATTTTTTGCTATACTAAAAAATTATATACTTAAAAAATGATAACTATTGATAGACATTACTTTGCTTATAAACAAGGGTCATTTTTCATTCTTTTCATAAAAGAAATGCTATGTATCATTTTCTATCTGTGATGTTCACATATCTATGTGTTTTAAATATCTTTATGTGGTTAAATACCCAATTCTCCACCTGACATCATGGACCAATAAAAGCTAACAGTACAGACTCAAAAAGAGCTATCAAAGAAACGTCACGGCATTGCACTGCTTCTGGGACATGTAGGAAGGGCATCTTTCTCCCAGCCCTGACAAGAATAACTGCATAGGTATCTGAGCTTAGATCTTATCAGAACACTTAAAAGTGAGGTTGATAACCTTCTTTTGAGTAAGGCCAGAAAAAGATTTAGAAGTCACTGTAGAAATTAAATTCAAAATAATAATTCTGAGGAAAAGTTAACAATGGACTTAATTTGGATTTTGCCATTTGAAAAGGATTCATATTTATTAAATATTTAAATGGTTTACATATTTTAGTTGTAAATTAGGGAAAGATCATTTCTATTATAAAAAGAAGCTTTTCTGATTTTAGTTTCTTATGAGATTGCATGCTTTGATTCAGTTTGTTTATTCAAATAAATTTAAAAAAGCTAGTCTTCAATGAAAGTGTTGACAGATATAACAAAAACAATTAACATCTTTATTTTTCAAACTTCACTAATTTACCTCTCTTAGACAAGATTCTGTGTCCTACAGAAAAAAATGTAAATATTTAGGTATCCAAATGCTCTACCATTTTATTTTTTTAATTTAATAAATATGTATGTCTTAAAATAAATTTATTAAAAAACATTTTATATTTTCTTTCAAAAGGATAAAAGTTGATTAAGAAAATCATACTACCATTAAAAATATCTGTATAGCCCTGACCAGTGTGGCTCAGTTGTTTGGAGCATTGTCCTGTGCACCAAAGATTCACAGTTGGATTCCTGGTCTGAGGGTGGGACAGAAGGCAATTGATGTTTCTTTCTCACATCGATGTTTCTTTCTCTCTCTCTCTTTCTCTCTCTCCCCTTTTCCCTTCCTCTCTCTTTAAAAAATGAATTTGAAAAATGTTTTAATGCCCTGGCCGGTTTGGCTCAGCGGTTAGAGCGTCGGCCTGCAGTCCTGAGAGACCCGGGTTCGGTTCCCTCTAAGGGCACATACCTCGGTTGCAGTTTGTCCCCGGCCCTAGTCGGTCGTGCGGGTGGCAGCCACTCGGTGTGTTCCTTTCACATCGATGTTTCTCTCTCTCTCTGTTCCTCTCTCTCCCTCCCACTCTACCTGAACAAAAAATGAAAAAATGTCCTCAAGTGAGGATAAAAAAAATGTTTTAATGTCTACATGTAACAACTCAACAATATAAAATGAGTGATAAATAAATCCCTGTATTGTCTTGATACTAGAATGGAATACAGTTGCTATGTAGAGGACAGCACTTATTTTATGGTTAACATCCTACAATTAACTTAATTCAGTTGAAAAAAATTAACATCCTACAATTAACTTATCATTCATTGCCTTTACTCCTGAAATGTTAAAAAGGACCCTACAAGAATTCCCTGTCATAAGTGAAATTCTCAAATAAGAATGTTATTTGACAAGGCTTTGTTATAAGAAATCTAAGAAAACAGAATAATAGCATAAAAAACTATATTTCTCCATGGTTAGAATTTAGTCTTTCAGCATGCCTTGTTTAGGAGATACTCATTTAATAGAAGTACAAACTTAAAAAGTCCAAAAAAAAAGAGTTATCAATTCACTTTAAAGAAATGTGGGGGTTCTATGCTTTATTTACACACCGACCATATTGCTTCTATACTCATAGTGACTTATCTTTACATAGTACTGACTCTACTTACATTTTACATTTATCTATGTAATTTTATCTACATTGTTATTAACATCTACACTGTAAGTTCAAGAGCAATTAGGAAATATCTGTTTTTAACTACACTGTTTTATCCTCAGCACCAAGGTGAATTAATGGTAAACAGCAGACAATCTATAAAAATTTGAATTACTAGATAAATGGATTGAAGGACTAATGTTGCCATCTAGAATACTGAGTTCACTGTCAACATTTGAATGCTTACAGGATAAAAGGTGCTATGCTAGGTACTTGTCACATGTGCTTTTCCTGACGTGTTTGTTATTTAGCGCTAGAAAACAGTTATGAACATGGTCACATTCAATTAACATCATTTAGACATATCTGACAGAGCAAGAAAAATTACTCAAACTATATCAATCTCAAAAATCATAAATTTGACAACAGAATCACAATCTGTTACTTATATCTGACCTTCATCACCCATTATCCAGTTATCACAAAGCTACTATGTCCCTGGAAACACTAGCATAAACTCTGATAAACAGCAATTTTAGATTTCAGTCTTTTGAAGCTACTATTTCCACTCCTGTCCAAAGTTAACTAACTGTGGATCTGATAGGACACCAATGTCTAAATAAAAAGATAAGTAGCAACCAAAAACAATGAGAACAAAAATATTAAGTTTAAGGTCACCTGAAGCATATAAAAATGTAGCCACGTTTGAATTATATTCTCAGTGCAAACATGTAAAGCAGGGGAGAACTGTCTGATTATACCACCAAAATTTGATACTGTGCTATATTATGAATCCCTATCTCACTTTATTTTAGGTAATCTTAAGAATTTAGTATTTTCAGAGTTACAGTAGCTATAATACATTTTTTAAAAGCCAATATTAAACTAAGCGGTATTATTATATATTTTCTTTCCCCCCTCTATAATTTTATAGGGGAAGTAAGAACAAAACAGAAATCAGCAGACTACTGTACTGTAAAAGTTATGACATCTAGTTTAAGTATGAAGCATCTATGCAATTAATAGATACATGTGGTTCGGTATATTTTTTTAAGTTAAACTTCACTCAAGTGGTATTTATAATATAAACTTTTTTTTAATCCTCACCCGAGGACATTTTTGCATTTATCTTCAGATAGAGCAGGAAGGTGAAAGGGAGGAAGAGAGAGAGAAAAACATCAATGTGAGAGAGACACATCAAGTGACTGCCACCCACACAACCCCAACAGGGACCGGGAACAAACTACAACCAAGGTACATGCCCTTAGCCGAACCGCCGAGCCAAACCAGCCAGGGCTATAATATGCTATTTTTAAAGATAAATAATTACAGCAGAACTACAAAGAACTGAAGTTCTTAAACTAACATGAACTGTATAACTAATTTTTCAAATTTTTATTACTATTTTTATCAACATTAAGCATATAAAATCTCTTATCTATAAAACCATTCTTTGCATACAGTTTATTACAAATGTAAGTCACAGAAATAAGTTCAAACATTTGGCATTAATTATGTCCTAAATTTTAAAAGTTTTAAAATCTTTATTTAAATATAATAAATTGGTATGCTTTACACACACACACACACACACACACACACACACATTATAATTTAAGTGAAAACTCTTACCATTGATTTTCTTTTGATAGTTAGTCACTCCATTAGTTTTTCTTGATAGGGCCTTGCTATGTCAAGTAGACAGTAGCCAAATCACAAAATGACATTTGGATGCTCACTTCTTCAGATAGGAGTTTTCGGCCAATTGCCAGTTGAGAATTTAGACTGAAACTAAATTACCCAAACTTTATTAAGTTGTTTCCACACCCACCAACTGATAATGAGCAATGACTCTAAACTCAAAACAAAGTGAATGATTTTGATTTACCTCTTTTCAAGCAGTCATAATATTATGTTTAAGAATGCTAGGATAAAATAAAACCAAAACCAAACAAAAACCCTCTAAAATTATAATATATTCAAAGAACACTTTTAAGTAAACTTTGAAACTTCCAAAAAGAGTTGACACTATTATTCTGTAACCAAAATTGACACATGATTTATACAATTATGTATCTATCAATATATTATAGTCACAAATTTAAATTCTGTCAAATATTGACTTAAAACTAACAGTAATATTTGGATACACTTTGACAATATCATCTATATTCATAAAATATTTATTACATTATCAACTGCTTTTAGAAGCACATACCATCAGAGTTCAAGGTTACACTGAAGAAACATGCCCTCCCTGCAAAGATTATTCTTTGCATTGAGACAAAATTTATGCTTATGGACTTCTAATTATAATGCAAAACGGCTCAGCCCCTTTTCTGCACCCATTTAGGCTCTTTTTCTCTTAATTATTATTTATAGCTAATCCTTTTAAAGCCTGTCAACTATATATGACTTTCGGCTATTAGGCTTTATGATAGTTCAGTTTTACAGTCTCTGTTTTGATACTTTAAAAATATTCAGCATATTAAAATTTTCCCACATATTAAGATATACCTTATAGCCTCATATCATTTCTGCCCATCTATAAGTTAGTCCATTTCAATAGTTATGTATCCTATAGAATTTAAGTGTTTGGCAAATATACAACAGAGCTGAAATGAAAGCATGAAAAGAAAGAAAAGCATATTCTTATCTTCTTAAAATATCACTGATTAAAAACTTTATGAATGTCAACTATAATAACTCTAATATTCAGTGCACATAGTTATATAAAATTCCAATTAAAATGCTAAACATAACATGTACCCCAAATACTCTGTGTGCCCGCTCTCTTGCTCTCTCATAGATATATACAGGAGGACTTGTGTACATGTACACGCACTTCTATCCATATGCACTTCTATTCCAACAGACTTTCCCATATCAATAACCTGATACTATGGTAATATATGAGAGAGAATATACAGTGAATAATCTCTTAATGGTTAATCAAGAGAAACTGACTTTGGAACAAAACCTGGAGCTTAGCAAAACTGCTATGTCTTTGAGTTAATCACACTGACTCCAAACAGTTTGATATTCTAGAAATAGGTTTATTCCATTCTATCCAATAATTTGAATCCCAAATCCTCAATATCAATAACATTTATAAACTATTCAGAAACTAAGAGAGTTCCTTCCTGGCTACTATGAGATACAAAGGAGAAGTTAAACTCCTTAGTTTATAATCTAAAACCAAAAATTTATATACATGTATGTGTAACCAATGGACATAGACAACAATACTGGAGGAGTGGGGTGGGGGTAGGATGGGGAGGAGGGTGTCTAGCGGGGACAAAGGAGAAACATTTGTAACAAAAATAAAACTGAAAGAAAAAAAAAGAGTTTATAATCTAAAAATTGACAGCGGAGTGTGGGGGGAAACAGCTCATGGTTAGATTTCCAAGAAATAAACATACATTGGGGCAGTTTAAATTGTTTGATTATATTTGTCACAGGTGGGGCTGATCTGAGAAGACATTTTATCAAGAAGCATTTTAAAAGCAGAAAATATACAACCATTTTATTCTTATTTAGTCTGATGAAATCCACAAAGCAAAAATTAATTAAATATAGAATGTGGCAATGAACGTATGTATGTCCTCACTCTGGAAGAAGATAAAAAAAGCAAAGATAAATTCCTTAGCCAAATTAAATTATAGAGGAGCATGAATATATATAAATCAGGCTTTCAGGATAAGAGAAGCAATTCTAAATTTGTTCATGACATTCATCCTAATGATTCCAATCATCATGGCAGTAATTTAATTTTTAATACAAAAAATAACCCTGAAAACTCACTACAGTATTAGGTTAACAAAATCATGAATTAAAAAGCAAAGAATGATTCCCCTAGTATGAATAACATTATCAATAATGCATCTACATGACAAAACTAGTTTCATATCCCAGCAATGTTGAGCAGCAAATGACTTATCAATGGGCTTATGTGTTCGTATATAATCTTATATATATTCTACTAATCTATTATAAAAATTTTATAATGTAATACTATCTTTCATTTTATAAATGGAGAAACAGGTCCAATAATAGGACATTATTTGTCCAAAATCACACAGCAAAGTCAGCAGCAAAATCAAGACCCTTTAAGAACAAATGTTTTTTTAACTTCAAGGAAATAGACATGCCTCAGAAAGAGTTATGATTTTATTAAAGATTTCAACTTTTTAACTTCCATACTAATCTCAAATATTCAGATCATCAGCCCCAGAAAATGCGAAGAACCAATTCACAAAGTAGGGAAAGGTTGTGTGTGATTAATTTAAACCTGATCTCTCTCTTTATAAGCTGTAAGGCAGTCATTAAGTCTCCTACCTAGCTCTTACAGACTAAGAATGTGAGTTTGAAGATTATATAAAATTTTATCAAAACTTCCTAAAAAACAGAATAGCCTAGAATTTATCATGGCATAATATCTATTTTTCTTTCATGTCCTAGCAGCCTATTTTTATCCATTTTTCATAAGACTGTCTAGCAATTTAAGCATGCTACATGGATAGTGTAAGAAATAAAAGGTTTTATCTTGACTGCTTTAGGTAATATAACTCATCCCAACTATATATAAACAGGCAGCAAGAGAAATTTAGATAATTTGTAAGTAGGAAATATAAAAATAAATAGTTGTAACACTGTTTAGATTTAGTTGCAAGGATAAAAGTTGGCCACTAACTCAATATATATTTCATTGTCTATTCAGTCATAACTCATAAAACATTTCTACTAAAATGTAACATACTTTTAAATTCTACTGTTCAAAAGTCAGAGCACTCATTAGCAACACCTAAAATCACTCACCAAAACTCTTCTGAACAGGCAATGACACTGAACAAATTAGTTCTACTCCACCATCATTACAACCATTGCACATTCCCCCAACACCCTACTGTCTAGCCTATGAGCCAAAGGACATAAAATATTCGTACCATCCATTATTAAAGACAGAATAAAATATTTTATCATATAAAAATCAAGATTTATCTTATGTTAGTAAAGCAAAAACTATATGGTTAAGGAGTTTTACTTATATTTCATTTGTTCACAAAGTAGTATCTCAGTATAATATATATGCAAATATACATATATAGTAAACATATATGTATGTGTATAAATATTTGAGTATGTATTCATTAAGATAAGGGCAGTTGTCTCAAAAGCATATGATGTTATTAGAAATTGTAATAATTTAATGTTTTCCTCAAGTGCTAAGTTTGTGTGTATGTACTTACTTTTTCACCTAGAATTGTGACTGACTTCCTAAAAGCAATATAGGGTATATTTAGGTCTAGTTGTTGAGGAAGACTATCCAGAATTGGCATATTGATATACAAATATAGTATATAAAAACCAGTTTATTTATTATCATTGACATTATTCACAGTAATCCTTTAGAAACTGTTTTGTTTTTGTTTTTTTATCAACCAAAAAAATATGCTCCCTCTTTTCATGAATTTTTACCATGTTTATAAGATAATTATTTTGGTCATAAGTTAATTTATCTCTGCCTTAGTTTCTCCACCTGAAAAATGGCCATAACAGCATCTTACCACATAGGCTTACTATGAACGTAGGTAAATTAATAGTTGTAAACTGCCTAGAAGAGTGCACCACTGGGGCACATAAAAGCCTTCAAAAGTAGAATATCACAATCATTATCATGATTGCCACTATTATTAACATCACTACCACCACCACCAGCTCCTTCATAAGCACCTCAAGTGAGGCTTAGTTAAAATGCAGAGTCCTAGGTCACACTTCCAGAGATTCTATTCAATATCACGTCAGTTTTATGTACTGTTTTAAAGAGAAGAGAAGTAAGTATACTTGTACCAATACCACCCTATGAATACAGTAACAAGAAGCATACTATTTTAAAACAGAAAAGGCAACCATTTTAAAAGTCTAGTAATACATTTATTTCCTTCTCCCAAACTCACACACCCATCCGCAAATCCAACAGTTATTGTCTAGTGGCCCAACTATGTACACAAGAGTAATTAGAAACTCAAAAGTAAGTGGTCCTGGGTTCAACGAACAGTTAAGAAGCTTATACAATTAATGCCTTCTTCGGGTAGATAGTACTTCGGGTAGAGACTACCAAGCAATTTTATAAAAAAAATTCATGAGTAAACCAATTATTAAATATTTGTGCACTCCCTATATTTGCTGTGCTCTGCTAAGGAGAAACTCAAGATATGAAACTCTACTGGAATCTCATTGGGAAAAGAACCTCTCATCATCTTCCAAGTATGATAGAAGTCTTGTTACACCTCAATGAGTAGTATCAGCTAGGAGTTCAGAGAAGGGATTTTAGTTAGGGTTGATAGGTAAGACTTCAAGAAGAGAAAAAAATCTTTGCTAGACTTTAAAATAACTAAGATTTTTTTTTTTTAATCTTCACCCGAGGACATTTTTCCATTTTTGTTCAGATAGAGTGGGAGGGAGAGAGGGGAAGAGAGGGAGAGAGAGAAATATCGGCATGAAGGTGACACATTGAGTGGTTGCCTCTTCCACAACCCCAACTGGGGCCGGGGACAAACTGCAACCGAGGTACGTGCCCTTAGCGAGAACCGAACCCGAGTCTCTCTGGACCTTGGGCCGATGCTCTAACCACTGAACCAAACCGGCCAAGGCATAACTAAGATTTTTTATAGGTAACAAAAAACTGCATTTCAGGTCAAAGAAAATAGTGTAAGAAGAAAGCAGAAACTTGGAGCAATACAGGCATTTCAGGATAGTACATATACTATACAGTATATATTTTGTACCCT